GACATAAGGAAAGGGTGAAAGAGGATGAATATGGTAGAAATATTATGTATTCATGTATGAAATTGGAACAATGAGACCTGTTGAAACTATTCTAAGAAAGGGGAGGGGGAAAAGGAGAAGGATGGAAGGGGGAGATCTAAGACATATCGTAAGCACTTTCATAAATGTCACAATGTACCCTCAGTACAATAATAATATGCTAATAAAAAGTTTAAAAAATGTACTTCAAAGGATATTAGCAGGAAAGTGAAGACAACTTAGAATAGGAGAAAATATTTGCAAATCCTCTATTTTTTTTCTCTGACATACTGGCGTTTGAACTCATACTTGCTAGGCAGGTGCTCTACCACCTGAGCTATTCCACCAACCCTTTTTTGTGATAGAGATCTTTTGAGATAGGGTCTTACAAGCTGGCTTCAAATTGTGATCCTCCTGCTCTCTACCTCCTGAGTAGCTAGGATTATGGGTGTGAACCACGGGTGCCCAGCTCAGAATATATAATTCTTATAACCCAAAACAACAAAAAGTAATTAAAAGAATGGATAAAGGACGTTATGTCTTCAATGATGACACATAAATAGTCAACAAACACTCACAAAGACGCTCAACATAATCAATAATTAGGGAAATACAAATTAAAACCACCATGATATACAACTTCACATTTATTGGGTTGGCCAGAATAAAAACAAAGCTAATAACAAGTGTTGAAGAAACTGGAAGCCTGTACATTGCCAGTGGTAATATAAAATTGCAGGCATTATATAAAAGAGTTTGGTGGTTCCTCAAAAAGTTAAGCAGAATTACAGAATCTAGCAGCTCCATCTCTAGATATATGCATATCCAACAGAAATGAACATATGCCCACAAAAAACTTGTACATGAGTGTCTACAGCAGCACTATTCACAATAGCCAAAAACTGAAAGAAATTCAGTGTCCATCAATAGACAAAGGATAGACAAATTGTGGCAGATTCATATGATAGCTACTAATACCCAACCATAAACAGGAATAAACTGCTGGTACATGCTACAATATGGCAAGCCTCAGAACACCACGCTAAGTGAAAGAAGAGAGACACGATAATATAAAATATCCAGGACAGGCAAATCCATCAAGACAGGAAGTGCATTAGTGGTTTCTAAGAGCTGGGAGAAGGGGGGACATGGGGAGTGACTGCCTCATGGCAAGTTTCACTTGGGGTGATGAAAACGTTTGGAGCTTGACAGGTGGTAACTGCATGATACAATGATGTACTAAATGCCCCTGAGATGTATGCTCTTTAAAATGGCTGACTTTCTATTATACAAATTTCACCTTAACCATAGTATTTGTATATGTACCATGTGATCTAAGTACCACAGGATGGTCCTCTTTCAGTTCCAGATCACTTGACACACACCATGGTCTCAATGCAAAGAACTAATATGTTAAGGAGGTAAGATTTGAGGTACCTGATCCTTTCTGATTTTTTTCTTTAACACTTGTACAAATTGGGTTTCCCTCTCCTCCCTGCACCTACACACATACTCTTCCTTGTCCCAATGGCTCTGATGAGCCCACACCACATTTATCAAAACCGACAAGAATTCTGTCCTAAGGCTTGTGAGTTTTACTAGTTGTTTGGGGTAACAGTCACCTCTGTCAACATGAAACACACATTCCCTTTGTTATAAGACATAATGTTTTGTATCTTTGCCCTTTATTTTATTTACTTATTTTTTGTAGTGTTGGGATTTGAACTCAGGGCCAACACCCTGAACCACTCCACCAGCCCTTTGTTGTGATGTTTTTTGTTTTTTGAGATAGGGTCTCACAAACTATTTGCCTCGACTGGCCTTGAATCGAGATCCTCCTGATCTCTGCCTCCTGAGTAGCTAGGATTACAGGCATAAGCCACTGGCGCCCAGCTTTCTTTACCTTTTTTGCATCAACCTTTGAGGGCCTACTAACCTACTAACATATTCTTTATAACTGAAAATTAAACCAGATGTTTGATTACTTAATACAATCTAAAAAAATAACCCTTTCTTTATAGGAAAAGGTTGTATCAAGTGAGGAATTTCAGTCACAGAACAAATATTTACTGAGGAACAAATATGTTCCTGGCACTATGAGAAAAGTCAAAGAACAAACAGTGTCTAAGAGACTTTGGAAGACTGGTCCAAGGCATGCGGTATTCAGAAACAGTCCAAGCATATAATCTGCTTACACTTTCAATAAGCATCCCATCAAATTAATGTTAATGGCTGCATTTTTCCTTGGTCTGTCAGAATATTCCCTCCTTTCATTTCTCACACTCCATGTGAACTCCTTGCTTACTGCAGCTCCTCCCTATGGGAGCATAAGCTCTTTGCACAGAGAAAGCATATCTTGCAAATCTTTGTCTGTCTTCTGAATGGCACAGACCCTGTAAGACTCTACCAACTCCCTAGAAAAGACGCCCTAATTCCCTACTGGGTGTCTCTAGCAAACCTGGATTTTCACATACTTGTCTGGACCAGTCTGGCTACTCCCCATTTACAAACATTTTTCTACTTCAGTTGCTATTTCCTTTTATAAAAAAGGCTTTATCGCTTGACAGGATGTTTGGATTTACCTTAAACCACAACCAGAGTTATCAATTGCCTCCTTAATTTGCATCACGTGCAATCAGTTTGGTTTTAAGTTTACCTACGTGGTTTACACCAGAACATGATTTCCTTGAAACACAATCTCCTTCTGTGAGGTAGAATGAACTCTCCTACATCACAGGCTCTCAACCACCACACTTCCTACTTCAAGGGGTAGAAGCCACTAGAAATTGAACACAAAATTCTCAAGTAAAGGACAAAAAGATGTGCTTGTTCCTAAAGAAAAATGGGAACTTAACAAATAAAATACAAATAAGCCTAAGTGTCAACAAATTAGAACTTTGGAGAGAAAAAAAAAGACTCCCAAGAAAACAATTACATTTCTGAGGAGTCCTATGAATTGCACATACTTACATACTAAAGGCAGTGAAAAGATTAAAAGTAAAAGATGTAATTAGCATTTTGATCCCTCGATTTTAAAATAAGGACTAGTTATGTTCAAAAAGAAAGGTTAAAAAGATAGGTATATCTTATTATTACTCCCATGAATAAGAGACTCGGAGAAATTCATATTAATGTATCTTTCAAGCTGCACATCAGGTTTTACCATCACCATAGGATGTAACTGAGACCAATTTATTACAAGATGTGAGAGAAAATCTTAGATTCTAGAAGGTACTTGTTCACATTTTTAGCAAGCATGGATAAAGAACTTAAGCTTTTTCTCAACATGAGATGTTTCATCTAGCCATTTGCTTTTTAAAATGCAGCAAATTTTGCTCTATTTTTTACAATGAATGGTTCTACTCAGACAGATGGGAGACATGATTTGGAACAGGAACCCTGAGTTCAGACTCTGCTCTGCAGTGCCGGGGTCTTCCTGATCTGCTTCTGAAGCAGTGGGATTCCTGAATGAACTAGTGAGGATTGCAGGCTGAAAGGCTACAGGACAGCCACAAATATCTCATTCTCCTTTGTGACTCAGTGACCACTTGTGGCATTCAGCAAACCACTGTTCCTACAGAAAGGAGAATGATTCCCCAAGAAGTAGACAGGAAAGTGCAACTGGGCATTAGAGAAGACAGAACAAAGAGTTAACAGGCTCTACCAACAGTCTCCTTCTCAAAGACTCTGTCCTCTATAGTAGCTTACACATTCTACCCAACGACAGCTGCTCATGATAATCAATGTCTGACAGATCAGAGAAAGCCCTTAATGTGTCGCCAAGGGGCAGTTTAACAGATGGCATAGTGACTCACAACCAGAATCATTAATTACACTCTCTTATTAGTCCCAGAGTACAGTGCTGAAAATGCTTCCTCAGTGAAAGATGAGCATTTCAGATAAATGACCGTCTGGTACTGCCTATGAAACTCCCTTTAGGATTTCTGGTCAGTGCCGATGTCTACATCCAAGCCATATCAGTTTTACAGCTGTTTCCCCTTCCACATTCAAACTGGCTAGAAATATGAAGTCCCCACCACCACTAGCCATCACAGCTCCCCAAATCACCACAGGTAAGGAAATTGTAAAGAGTGCCCTCATTCACTTCTTCTCTCCAGTCAGCTGACTATACAATGACAAACAATCCCAGCCAGAGCTGTGCCCTCCCTGAGCCACAGGACATGTTCCTCAGTGGAGGAAGAGTGGCAAACTGGCTCCCTTATCTACTTCGTGGGCTCTAAGAGGTGTTTTTTGTTAACATATTGTGACTGGTTCACCAACTTGGACCAGTTCTCTGGTTACCACTCTTTTCCATTTATCTTTTAAACAGAGAGGAGTAGATACTCCTAAAAATGGAAGCTTAATAGTGTGGGAGAAGCAAAAATCCCCAAACATCTGCACTGCTGGCTTTTTTATCCCAAGGGACTAGCACTGAGGTTAAGTCATCCTGTGCTTAAGAAGTCAAACAAGTGCACGGTGAGGAATGTTTCTGAACTCCTTCCCAAGGGCACTCAGATGCATGTCCTCAGCTCAGGGTAGAAATGGGTTCCTTCTCAACAGTTTGAGAATAAGACTCCCTGAACATTACTGTGAAATTTCTAGAACTGATAAACAGAGCTTCGAGGCAAACGACTTATTGACCTTAGCATGGGTACAAGTCAGAAATAAGCCCCAAACAACTCAAAAGAAAGACATAACTAAATAAATGTTCACTGGTTTTCTCAATTTACAATGTTTTAGAATGTGATATTAAACTAAAGCACTCTTAAGATTCTAAATGCTGTGATTTTTCTTTTCTGGACATATAAAAACATGACTTTGATTTTTAAATAGGCTCAAGTAAGCACAGTTATCTGGTGGATGCTCCCATCTTGAGAATTTTTAAAAGATAAAAATGTTGATTCAGGCATAATAAAAACTGCCTACTGTGGGCCACAGGAAGGGAAACTTAGGTAGTCTCAGTCGCCTCACAATGTACTCACTTCTAGCTTTTTCTCCTTTTCTGACAAAACATCTTTCTGATTCTGGGTATACTCCACCAACATCCGAGCCAGCTGGCGCCGGTCTTCCAGTTCTGCTGCCAGGCGCCCGTTATATTCAGCTAGTAACAGACATGCTTCATCTACCGTTTTTGAAAGACGTTCAGCTGCCTCTTTGTCTGAGTACAAATGAGACCAAAAAACAGAGACAACATACAAATCACATAGGTACAATTGTAAACAATTTTGGGGGGAGGTTCACAGTTGCTTTCCCATCACACAGAGTCCAAGAATAAGCTAGAACCTGTGGACCAAAAATGAATCGGCTGGCCAAAAACTCCAAAGGCTTTCACTCTGTCAACAAGACAGGACATTTCTGAACTACCTGAAGTGAGGAAATCTAGCAAAGATTTTTAAATAGCCGTTGCTGCAAATACTCTACAAACAAAATAGTGGAAAGATATTTAAGGCCATTCATGAGATAATTTTTGTTGCCTCTAAGAAATTCATGTGCTTCTGTTTACATTATTTTATTAAGTATTCTTTTTACATTCCTCTGAAATAAAAGAGCACAGGTATTCACTTCTTGTATGTGGAATCTGAAACAAAGAACATTTCCATGATAGGTTCAGTATGTGGTCTCTGAAATGGATCTGTGTAAGTCTTGAGCCTGGGTGTGAGTTCTCTTCCTGCATTCAGCAAAATATAGATCTGATAAGGAACACAGGCTTTCAAGGGTTTTTGAATATAACAGTAGAAATACACTGTATTTAAATTTTCTTTTGATAATATTGGGGTTTTAACTCAGGATCACAAGTTCTACTACTTGAGCCACACTTCCACCCCTAAAAATATACTTTATGTAAACACATATAAAAAAACAAACATGTCATGAAACAGCACCCATTCTTACTATAACTATAACTGCTTTTATTCTTTATAATATGTTTATTTTTACACAGTTCTTTTCTGGATTTGAACTCAGGCCTTGAGGTTGTTAGGCAGGTACTGCACCACTTGAGCCACACTTTCAGCAAGTTTTTAGTCTATTTTTAAGAAAGAGTTGGTCATTACCTATAGGACTGACCTCACATCTAATTAATGGCTTTGAAAAATGAACAAAGAACAACAACAAAAGAAATCTGTTCTGAAGAAAAGGTATTCTTGGAAAGAAGTGGTGAATGAAGGCTCAACATAAGGAACTAAGAAGAAACAAAAGGAGGATTTGTATTTATGAAGAACTGCTATAATTATGCACACGTGGGTGCTGCAAGAGCACCAGAATCTCCAGCAGTTCTATGGGACAACTAAAAATGAGTAGCTAGTGATACAGGTCTGTCACGGATGGCTGAAGTAAGGGACCCTGGCATTCTTCTGGGTGACTGGGATTTAAGAATTCCCAATCTAGTATCTCTGTTTGGCAAACCATCACCTGGCTCTCACATTCCTTCTTATAGGGAATACCAGGAGATGAACAACTAAGGGCTGCCAAGTTGGGTCTGATACCAAAGATCAGGAACTTCACCCTCCTTAGGAACACAGAACCAAAGGATGTTCTTGGTGAAAGCACATACTTGGTAAGGAGTGAGCAAAACAGAGCCCATAGCAAAGACAGGGCCTTGGTCATAGAGGGCAAGAGAGCTGCAAACCCTATTCTTCCAGATCACTGCTGCTATCTGTGATGAGCAACTGTGGTGCATGGGCTGATTTTAGCTTTGTCATTGCTTAACTCATCTTTTTTTTAATGCCTAATTCATTAAGATGTTGGAATACCTTTGGCAAAAAATGGCAAGAAAAACACTATAAATTTTTAAGAGTTAAGATTTTTAAAAATCAATTCCCACCTTTGAGAACTTGTATAAGGGAAATAAATCATTTACACAAATAACAGCAACCCAGGAAAAAACTTTTTATCATTTAATGAGTCACACAAAAATGCAGTCCAAATAAAGACATGAGTTCTTGCCTCAGGGAACTTACCTGTGGCTGTGCTGTGCTCTGCCCTCCCAGCAGAGCCAATGAGCAGCTATGAGCTGCTGTGCCCAGCCCCTCTCTTTTGTGCATGGGCTCCCTGGGGTGGCTGAAACACTCAGTTTCTGAGACAGTCCCTATTTCCCTTGCCTTGTCCATTTCTTTCTTCCTCCTGCAGTACCACCAACCAGAATGAACATGTAGCTATGTTTCCCAACCTCCTAGCACCTTCCAGCTACTGCCCCATTTCCCTGTTTTCCTTCTACAACAAACTCCAGAGAGCTTGTTTATACTGCCAAAGCCACCATTTCTTCCCCATCAAGAAATCTAGTCCAATCAGTCTTTAAACTCACCAGTCTGCTGCATACAACTTTTTAATTAGACTAACGGATCCTTGAGGTCTTCCAGAGTGCCTAGGTTCTGAGACAGCAAGGAACAAAAGACAAAAACTCCCTGCCCCCAAGTTTATATTCTCAGATGGAAAGGGAGACAAGTATCTACTTATCAGCTGAAGACAAGAGCACTAGGGAAGAACAAGGCTGAGGAGAAAGAATGGAGCATAGGAAGTGAGGGGATGACAATTATCAATAGAATGGTCTATCTCAGGGTAGGTTTGAAGGAGGTGATATGTGAACACAGGCTGGATGGAAGTAGAAAGAAGACTGCTTTAGGAAGAAGGAACAGTAAGTACAAAAGCCCTGGGGGTGGAGGAGTGCCTGGCAAGGAACCAAGATGATCTGAGCACTGAGCAAGGTGGTCCATGAGGCAATAGGGCCAGGCTGTGGGGACTGTGAAAGACTGGCTTTTGTTCTTGGCTATAGTGGGGAGTCACTGGGGTGTTCTGGGGGTGAAGAGTGGGGACACATGACCATGATCTAACTTCTGTTTAAGAGGATCACTCTTAAACACCTATGTTGAGAATAGGATGGTGGCCAGGGATAGGCACCAAGGAGCAAGTGAGGAGACCAGGAAAGAGGCTATTGTAATAATCCCAGTGAGGACAGTGGCAACTTATACTAGGTGGCAGTAGAGGTGGTGACAAGACCAAGTACTGGTTTGGCCCTGATCAGCAGGAATGATGAGGGGGCATTTACTGAGATGGGGAAGACTATAAGAGAAATGAGTTTCACAGGGAAGATCAGAAGTTCAGCACTGCACAAGTCTGAAATGCCCATTATGACATCCAGCTAGTAATATTGACAGGAAGTTGAATGAATGTGTCTCAAGTTCAATGGGGAGGTCAACACTAGAGAATTAAGGAATTACCAGCATAAAAACTATTTAAAGTCATGACACTGGATGAGAACAGCTATCAGTGAAACTAGCTACAGAAGAGGGCTAGGTACTCAACATGAAGAGGTCAAAGAGAAATGAAGAAAGCAGAAAGGAGGTGGAAAAGACATGGCGAGAGGGGAGGAGAGCTCGAAGAACGTGGGACCCTAGCTTCTTACTGCTGCTAAAACAAGTTACCACAAATTTTTGGCTTAAAACATAAATGTGTTATTTGTTGTTGTGACACCTTCCTCATCTCCAAAGCACCACCCCCATCCTCTGATCCCATAGCAATACCTCCTTCTCTCATTCTTACTTTCCTACCACTCTTACAAGGACCCTGTGATTACCTCAGGCCCCACATGGATATCAGATCCTTATCTTACCCACATTTGCAAAGTCCTTTCTGCCGTGTGAGATAAGCATACTCACAGGTTCTGGGAATAGGACTCAAACAGCTTTTTTTTTTTTTTTGGGAGTGTGTGGATTATTTTGTCTACCAAACCAAGTAAAGGGAAATAATCAACTGGGTCAAATGCTACTGGGTTAAGATTAAGGTGAGGGTAGAATTTCCACCATTGAATATGGCAAGAAGGAAGTCAAAAGCTACTTTGACAAGAGCAGCTTCAGTAAAGTGGAATCAAGAGAGAATGGGTCGGGCACCAGTGGCTCAAGCCTGTAATCCTAGCTACTTGGGAGGCTGAAATCGGGAGGGTGGTGGTTCAAGGCCAGCCCAGGCAAACAGTTCATGAGAACTCCATCTCCAAAATAACCAAAGCAAATTGTCTGGTGGTGTGGTTCAAGTGGTAGAGAGTCTGCTTTCCAACTGCAAAAGCCCTGAGTTCAAACCAGTCCCACCAAGATTTAAAAAAAAAAAACCAGAATGGGCAGGAGTGGCGAATGCCTAGGCAATCCATTCAGGATGTTGTGTCAAAAAGAACAGGGAGATAAGGTAATAGCTGGAGGAAGAGATGGGATCAAGAAAAAAATTCTTCCCACATGGGAAAAAATGTATAAAATGTTATAGGGCTAGGACTGTAGTTCAGTAGTAGAACATGCACTTATCATGTGCAACGCCCTGGGTTCAACTTACAGCACCCAGGAAAAATAAATTAAAGAGAGAGAGTGTGAGAGAGAGTGAGTGTGTGTGTGTGTGTGTGTGTGTGTGTGTGTGTGTGTTTTGCTGGAGAACAAACCCAGGACCCTGAACATCCTAGGCAAGAGTTGGCTTTTTTGAGACAGGATCTTGCTATGTTGCCCAGGCTAGCCTTGGACTCATCATCCTCCTGCCTCCACCTGAGTGCTGGGATTATAGGTGTGTGCCACCATGCCTATTGTTTTAAAAGTGTTTTTCTGTTTTGCTTTTTGTAGTGCTAAGGATTGAACCCAAGGCCTGCACATTCTACATAAGCCCTCTACCACTGAGCTACAACCCCGACCTATAATCAGTATTTTAAGTCACAGACATGATTAGCTTTATGTTGATTTGCTTCTGATTTTTTCAGGTTATAATTCTAATATATGAATAAATAGTAATGGGCTAGACATGTAGCTCTGTTGTAGCGTACTTGCTTATAATGTTACAAAGCCCTGGTTTCATTCAGCAGCAGCACAAATAAAATTTAAAATTTTTAAAGAACAAATGAGGTGGCCCTTATAATACTACTACTAAGAATAAAGAGTTGGACCTAACCAGTTGAGGGCTTTTTTTAGGAGACTAGAGGAGGAAAAAGGAAGAAAGACACTGAGGAAGCATGTGACAAGAGGAATAGAAACTCTAAGCTGAGTATAAAAACTGAGGACTTGAAGGTGAGGAGGAGGTGGAAGATCAAGACTGTGGGTCCCTCCAGCAATGGTGAGTTGTTGGAGCTGAGAAAGCAGAGTGAGAGCTGAAATGTTTCTTTGGTGATCTGAAGGCCTCCATGCAGCACTGTGTTCTCCAAGAGAGTAGTCCTAGCCTCAAGGTCTTTCTGCATCCTGTTTCCTATCTATCCAGTGGATAAGATGTTTCCCTCAAACATCTTATTTCCTAATTCCTCTGGGTCTCTGGTCAAAGATCATCTCTTTGGAAAGGCCTCTCCTGACCTCTCCCTCGAAGATTTTTCTTCTTGATATTACACCTCTGAAGGATATGGGTGGGACACCAAGAGCAACTACTATATGGTGAGCCTCAAACATTTGTTGAGTGAAGGAAGTATTTCTTGAGTAACCTTGCATTCCTTTAGATGGACATGGAGGAAGCCAGAGAAGCAACAAGATTAAGGGACTGGAAGGGAAACATGGTGGCTTCTGGAAGAGAGGGGACCAAAATGTCTGAGCATTTGTAATGGGAAGAACATACTCCTTGGAGAAGTTGATTTGAGAGTTGGCCCAGAATAAAAATCTTGCTGGTGGAGTGGTTCAAGTGGTAAGAGCACCTGCATACCAAGCGTGAGGCACTGAGTTCAAATGCCAGTACGGCCAAAAAAAGATTCATCCAAGAATAAAAGTCTCCCCTCAAGGATTACCATGAAGAGCAGAGTACTGGCACAAAGCACACGCCATGCTTCACTCTTTCCTTCAATTTCCTATACAGAAAGCAGGAATAGTGTCAACTGGTTCTTAATGGAAATGATCACCATTAAGGCAACATGACATGACCAACAACACACACCTAGAATTCTTAGCATTCAATCACCTACAGGCATATCAATATGCAGTGTATATACATCCTACAACCTTGTACCATAAATTTTTTTTCTTTTAGTAAGAGTGTCATGAGTTTAATGCCTATCTCCTCTCAGACCCACTGCGCCACACATATATAACTTGTACTGTGTTGTCAACAGATCTTATTTGGAGTGCCAAGTTATGCACATCAGCCTTTCTGCAATAATTCTTAGAATCACTTCTCAAGCTCTGACTATAAAGAGTTTCTTTGTTCAGCATGAGTTACTTGCACATTCCAAGATGGCAGAGCCCCCAACATCACACGGAAAGTCTGTATCTGCACACATACGCATGTCCTAGGATTTGATGCTCTACAGAGGGTCCCTCTCATCTGTCACCCAAACTCTTCATTCTTACCTGTTATTTTTTCCAACAGAGAAACATCCTGCACTTCCTGGGGCAGAGAAGCAATTTTCTGTCGAACAGTAGCATCACCTGATGCAGCATTTTCCAGATCCTGCAAAGCTTTGATTAGTTCCTCAGTCTATAAAATAAAAACACAAACAATCTAGCTATTAAGATACATAGAGTTTACAGAAAATTAGCAGGAAGGGAGTGGTGTCTCAAGCCTGTAATCCTAACTACTTGAGAGGCGATCTGGAGGATTAAGGTTTGAGGCCAGCCTGGGCAAAAAAAGTTTGTAAGACCCATCTCAACCAATGGCTGAACGCAGTGGCACATGCCTGTCATCCCAGCTATGCACGAGGATGGCAGTCCAGGCCAAACCTGGCACATAGTGAGACCCTATCTAAAAAAATAACCAACACTAAAACTAGTCAGGCTTGAGCCTATAATTCCTAACTACTTGGGAGGCAGAAATCAGGAGGATGGCAGTTCAAGGCCAGTGCAGGCAAACAGTTTGTAAGACCCTATTTCAAAAATACCTAACACAAAAAAAGGCTGGTAGAGTGGCTCAAGTGGTAGAGCACCTGCCTAGCAAACATGAGACACTGAATTCAAACCTCAGTACTGCCCCCTCCCAAAAAAAAAAAAAAAAATCCAAAAGCCAACACCAAAAGGGCTGGCAGAGTGGCTCAAGTGGTGGACAGCCTGCATAACAAGCATGAGGTCCTGAGTTCAACCCCAGTATCACAAAAAAAAGAAAAACAAAAACAAAAACAAAAAAACACCACCTAGAATTAGATGAAATGTATGCAAATTCTAAAAAGGGTCACGTCTGACATTTTAAAATCCTGTTCAGTTCCAGAGCTTATATGGATGCCAGTGACATGGATTCTAAGAGAATACACAAAATTAATTTTTCTAAGTCTACGACAGGATATGAATGAAATTCTGTAAAACTCTAAACAATTTTAAGAGCATATTTTTGGCAACTTATGAAAATGGAGTCTGATTCATAGTGCTTAATTTCAAATGGAGCACTATTTCCAGTGTAAAACAGTCTCTAATATAGAAAAAAGGTATATATAACAGATGTTTAACAATTGTATGTTAGCTGATTAAATTCTTTCTTGAGTTTGCTTTATAATGTAATTATCATTCCTAAAATCAAGCAAGTCAAGCTTATTATAAGAGGGAGTGAAACCAAAACAACAGTAATGCATATTTTGCATATATCAAAAGGGCTTTATTAACTTGTCAATAAACACAGAATGCTGACAGATTAGACAATCCATAGTGATCTAGGAACACAGCTGACTCTGTAGATGGTGGGTAGATTATCCTGAAAATTGATAATCCAAGTTGATTTCTTTAAAAGCTTTTGGAGCAAAGATATATGATCTAACATAGCTATCATTTAATCCTCAGACTAATGTATCATTTTAACATAACACAAACCAGACATTTCCCCATTTACCCAAGTTCTGATTGCACCTATATGTAATAAAGTAAAAAAAGTTTTAGGCAAAATAAGAGGCAGCAGATGTGAGGGAGATCTAGCTGTGACATCTGTCACCCATTGATTGCCAGGGCTGATTAGAGTGATCTGGCTTGCAAGGCAGGTGTCTCTTTCCTCCCTCTCCACTCCATGTGCGCCCCTCCCAAAGCTGTGTGCTTGGTCGAAGAGGACCATCCCTGAATGAGGAGGACCATTCTTCAGTCAAGGGTATACAAGTAGCTGCACTCCCCTGTTAGAACTCCAAACAAACTCTCAATAAGAGGCAGTCAGGACCAGTTAAAAGGACATGAACAGCTGCGTGTAGCGGCACACACCTGTAACCCCAGTACTCCGAAGGCTAAGGCAGGAGGATGGCAAGTTTGTAAGTTCCAAGGCAACTTGGACTACAGAGTAAGACTCTGCCTTTAAAAAAAAAATTTTAAAAAGGACATGGTCTGAAAACAGATAGACCTGGATTCAAATTATGACACCTGGGAAGTTACTAAATCTGTATATATGATTATCATTTTCTATGATCATAAATGAACCAAAAATTGTTTTATAAAGGACCAAATAATGAAAACATATGGCTAAAAACTCCCTATTTTAATACTTATACAGGCAATCACATAGTAAATTCGCTATTAGCTGTAACAAGGTTCCTTAGATGAGTTGTTTAATGACATTAGCTATCCCTATCACAAACATCTACTTTTTAAGAATACTTTTAATCTCTAAGGCAGAAAAAAAACAAGTCCAAGTACTTTACAAATCATAAACTCATTGTAGAATCATAGTACAAAAGACAAAGTGAAATCCCTGTGTGCCTGTGTGGCAGGTTTTTCCAGGTAGGATCCTACAGCTCCCAAGAGCTGCCCTCTGGCAATTCCATACTATTGGTCACCAGCGCCGCCTTGTGGCCATAATCTTCAACTGGAGTGGTCAATTCAAGCCACCCTACCCTTCTCTCAGGGTCAAACATACCAAGAGTGGTCCTGCAGAAGGATCTTGGGGAGAGTAGCTTCCAGGGTAGTCGTCATCTTCCTCCTCTTGTATCTGTTGAAAAGTTCGCTTCAGAGATTTCTTCTCTTCTGTTGCTAGGGGAAATAAAAGTGACAAATTTGAGTTGCATATCCTGCACTGATAAGAGTCAAAGCTACAAACAACTGGCTACAAGTAAAAACAGGGCAAAAGGGGTGTTCATTTTCAGAGATGGCTTAACGCTAACTTTTATGCAAGTTATTTTTAAATTGGTTGTAGTTCCTTATATTACTGAAGACTCAAAAAGGTCACAGTCTGTCTTCCCAGATTGACTCTCCAGAAAAGCACTACTGAATACAAGCATCTAAAAGTGAAACATACCAAACTGTCACATTTAATTAAAAAGTTCATGTCTTAAAAAAAACAGAAGTAAAATGGCATGAAACCCATCAGACAATATAATGAAGTAAGCCCACTTGTGCGAGGGTTTATAGAGAACATACTGCATAAAAAAATGAGATATTTATGCTTCCTAAGGATCATTTCAGAAAATAAATAGTAGAGAGAAATTCATCAATAAAACTGTGTCAAAGATTCTAAACACAAACATCCTTTAAACTATTCTTTTAAAACAAAACAAAGCAAACCTAATTTTACCTTAAAATAAAAAATGACCATTACTGAGAAGTGTGATTGATACTACTCAGAGAAATTAACCACTTTTGAGGCTGACAGGTTACATTTTTTTATTATCTGTACTGTATGCTTTTACATTGTTATGATAGATGTGTTAATTCTAAAATCACTCCTATTGCATCATATTAAACAATATTAAATAAATGCCAAACAACTGTAGGAGATAAATCTAAATGATAAATTCTCGCTTAGAAAGTAAAGAAATATTAGACACTTAACATGTGTAAGGTATTATAATAGCATCTTTACTTTTAATCTTTCCAACAATTCTGAATAGTAGCTCCATTTTACAGATGAAAAAACAAAGGCCCAGGGAGGAACTCCACAGCACAGCTCCAAAATCTATGCTCTTTCTACTGTACTCAAGTGATTAGGTACACAACTACCCTTGTCTGTCAAAAAAGGAAGACACCAGTACCTGCCTCAGAACTGTGAGTTACACAGAGAAAAACTCTCAAGGAAAGTACATAGACTTTTTAATTAAATAGTTTCTTCTGTAACCAAGCACATAGCTCCTGTTCTTCACTCTTCACATTAACTGGCCAAGCTATGTTTGATGTGAAAGCCAAGTCAATACCATGAGTTGTATTTTTTTTCTTATTGTTTTGTTTGTTCTACCAAGAAAAAAAAAAAAAGAAAGAAACATCAACACTTGCAATATAAGCAGTCCTTGTTTTGCACGATTCTATTATGCACAAGCAGTTACCATGGTTTAGTTAAATGACACCAAGTCCCCCAACAACACATTTTGAATTTCAGTTACCATGTACTCTATGTACTTGAATTAGGCACAAATTTCTCTTATGACTCAGCCCCCAAGTCTTGATCAGTGAGTGATCGATCATTCACATCCCTCCTGCAAAGTCTGTTGGTGATGGCCTGCAACTGTTCCTAAGTCCACACATGGTAGTGTGTAGCTGTACCACCTCATTTCCCACTAGTAGAATCCACATGACATTTCATAAAAACAATTAATGGACATAGGGAATTGGCCATAAAGATTAAAGTACAAAGAAACTGCAACTAAAGCTAAAGCTGAATGGCACCTGATGGGGCTAAGAAGAGAGAGCTCCCTGGGATACTGCACTGCCACCATTCTAGAGGCTGTCTGCAGACAGAGAAAGTTACCAACGCAAATGAAGTGGTGGCCCGGAAAAGGACAGCAACATCTGAGAGGAAGTGATACCCACAAAAAACTTCACACTAAAGCAACTCTCAGGGCTGGAAGCGTGACTCAAGCGGTAGGATGCTTGCTTTGCAAGCCCGAAGCCCTGAGTTCGAACTCCAGTCCCACAAAAAACAAACGAAAAAAGAATATAAAGCAACTCTCAGAGCTGGGCACTGTGGCTCATATTACACGTCTATAATCTCAGCACTTGAGAGGCTGAGACAGGAGGATCCCAAGTTTGAGGCCAGCTTGGGCTACATATCCGGAGACTTTGTCTCAAAATAAAGGGCTGGGTGTGTTAACTCACTGGTAGGGCACTAGCATGTGTGAGACCCTGGGTTTAATCCTCAGCACCATAAAAAAAAGAAGAAGAAGAAAAAGAAGGAACTCTGAGATATTTTACAACACTGAAGGCTCAAAGATAAAATGTTGGAAGCTAATCCAAATTTAAGTATGACAATTCATTAAGGCCTAGAAAAGATGTTTGGCTCTATTCCAAGGCAAACACTGTTCAAACTACTCTTGATACCTTTGTTACAAAGAAAATATAATTAAATTCTCCATGCTTCTTATTTGGGGGGCAGGTGCTACAAGTTGAACCCAGGACCTTTCATATGCTAAGCAGGCACTCTGCCATTGGTCCTTGGGTTTTTTTTGAGACAGTGTCTGCCTTTGCAGCCCAGGCAGGCCTGGAACTCATTATGTAGCCCAGGCTGCCCTCAAACTTGCAATACTCCTACCTCTACCCTCTAAGTGCTAAAATTACAGGTGAGAACCACCACACCTGATATAATAAATCAGTTAGTTTTACTGTCTTTTTGCTTTCCTAGGGATCTGTAATCCATAGCGAGTTTTTAACTCTGACGACAAAAAAAAAAAAAAAAAATTAACAAAACAACTACAATCTTCTCCCCATTATTAAGTTCACTTTGCATGGTTTTAGCTTGCATGGTCATTTTATATTCTTGCAGTACCAAGCCAAGCAAGGATTGCTGTATTTTTTAAATGGGAAATCCTTTAGGATATAATTTACATATGGAATACCTAAGAGTACTTCGCATACAGTAACTATTTAATGTGTGTCATATGGTATGGTTCACACAGACATTTAGCCACATTTACACAAGACACAAAGTAGCCACAAGATCAAAAATAAGATTCACATTGTTTTTGTTGCTTCCACACACCTAAAAGAGTACTCAATAAATAAATATTAAATACAGTAAAGGAAGAAAATATTATAGCTTGAAATCCTTCAGTTTCCACACTCTCACACTGAAATTATTATATATGAAAAATAAACCATTTGCTATGAATCAATGAATTTTACATGGAAGGCCTCAGATCAGCCTTTGCTTTCCCCAGCTTCAATTTCACAAGAACATCAAAGCCCTCACATTGTGGTTTGCCCAAAACCAGAGGGCTGATGAATCTACCCTGAGTCCATGAGCCAAACCTTCTGCCTCCTAACTAGGAGTCCTTGATACCAGTTCATGCTTTTCCTTGCCTTTGGCATCACAAGGCTCAAGTCAAACTGATAAAGACATTTCTAGGTCTATTTCTGTCCTTTGCCATCCTGCTAGAAGAGGGGATAATTGTAAAAAGAGAGCTAAAATGGGGTCCCTGAGATAAGAGATCCCCAGAACCTGGAAAAACTGCTTCTAAGAAAGGCAGCTGGCCCCAGTCCAGAATCAGCTGTCTTGAGAAAAAGCTGCGGGCAATAGCCCAGAAAACAGCTGCCCTGGGGAGATAAGGAACCACAGCAAGGAAAAGAAAAAGAGCATCCCCACACCCCTCAGGGGGGCACCCCTCCCCCCCACGCTCAAGGCATTCCTCAGCTTAAGAGTAGTCTTTACTTTCACTTCTTGGTGAATAAATCTTTCTTACTTTCACCTTGCTGAGGGTTTCTATCATTAATTCATTTATGCTTTAGAAAACAAGAACTTTGCCTTGGCTGAGTACAGCACACCTGTGCATCAACTGGGGTATTAACTGTTATCACTCTACTTTTCCAGTTTGCTTCTATTTCCAATTAGAACCTACTGGTGCTACAAACCTAAGATTTCTAATCACTCCCCAACTAGGGCTCCAATTCCCTAAGCTACCTAGTTCCATTATGAAACCTCCGTTGGTCCTATCTTTCAAGTACAAAGCCTTGGAGAACACCAGAATCTGTCCCAGAGTCCCAACTTCCAGCAGATTACACACCTCTGAGGGGATCTGACAAATCTCTCTCTTCCCCTTCCCAGACACAGTCCTGTATTACACCTGGCTAAGAGAGACCACTGCCTCACCCAGACTCCCTCCTTTTCAACTTAGAATTCTCATTCTGTCTTGTCTCTATTCAAAGCTTGTAGCATTAGTCATTTCACACTTCCCTCCTAAGTTCAAGTCCACAGTCCCTCAAAGTCCCACCCCATTTGGGCCTCCCCTTTAAAGCACTTGGCCATGCTACTTTGGACATTGGCAAGCCCTCCCTTTGGAGAAGGTCTCATTCCTCAACCTCCCACCTACCTATAGCACTTAGGAAAGGGCCAACAGGCCAGAGGGGACAAACTTTTTTTTTTGTGGGACTGGAGTTTAAACTCAGGGCTTCATGCTTGCAAAGCAGGAGTTACACCACTTGAGCCACACCTCCAGTCCATTTTGCTTTGGTTATTTTGGAGATGGGGGTGTCAAGAACTATTTGCCCGGCCTCCCAATCTCAGCCTCCCAAGTAACTAGGATTACAGGTGTGAGCCACCAGTTCCCAGCTCAGAGGGGACAAACTCTTAAAGGCAGGAGTCACAGAGCTTGGCAAAAACTAGCTCTATGTCAGAAATGACATCACGGCTACAGTTAGCAGTTTTAACGCCTTGATATTCAATTGAGTCAGACAGACATTAAAAATAGCCTAACAAATCTGCCGGTCCCATCCCTATGTTAGAACTTAAGATAAGCCTTCCACAATCAATTTGGCCTCTGACCATAGTATTCATTTACACTTTTTTGGGAGGTAGGACTGGGGATTGAACCTAGGGTCTTGCACAAGCTAGGCAAGCACTCTACTACAACCAGGTTACTACACTTCCTTTTTTATTCACTCAACCAGTCAGTTTCCAGGTGGGACAAATAGTGCAGGTGGCCAGGTCTTCTGTCCTCATATATGCACCTCTCTTCTCTCCTCTAACCCATGTCTACAGGCCATGTACTTGGTTAACTGCCAAGTAATCCTGGTTACCAAAGGGTAGGGTTTGCCTCTCATAGCCCTGAGCATAGTAGAATTTCAGATACCATGACAGACTGTGAAACTAATCTTAAGGCAAAAAACTGTACTGAAAGCTCCCAAATCACACCACAAAACACAGTCATCTACATGCAAAGATGAAATTTCTGAAGATGGGGGTGGTGGTACACACCTATAATCCAGCACTTGGGAAGCTGAGAGAGGAGGATTGCAAGTCTGAGGCCAGTCTGGGCTACAAAGACCTTGTCTATTAAAAAAAAAAAAAAAAAAAAGGAGGAAGACATACCTGAAATTTTCTAGTAATAACAACATAGGAATATAAACTTCAGATTTTTATACTACTCTTGGAGAAAACAAACAGGAATACTGTTAGTAATAGTTCCCTCATTCTTTTTTCTTTCCCTGCAAAATAAAGGAAAGTTGTCTTGCTTTGCCTCAGGGCCTCACTATATAGTCCAAGCTAGCTCATGTGCCCCTGCTTCCCAAATGTGGGATTACAGGAGTGTATCACCACACTAGGCATAAAATAAAGGAAAAACTTTTAAAAGCAGATTAAGCTTCAGTTGTGGTTAAGAAAAATAAAAATAAGAGAGAAAGAAAGGAAGAGGGGAGAGAGACAGAGAAAGAGAGGCAGACAGAAAGAAAGAACAGAAGAAATACCAAAAGAGCCTGCAACGAATGAAGAGCTACTATCACTTAAGGCACAGTTTAACAAGCACCTCATCCTCATCGTCTCACTGAAATGAGCAGCCAAGTCCAGACAGGAGCTCAGGGAAGCTGGGCCCAGAGGTTCAGGGGGCTGAAAATTCTAAATGTTTCCTTCTCCTTTTGCTACTGGCTCATCTACAAGATTATTAGATAAAAACCCTATCACTGCCCCACTGTAATATCTCACCCTGCATTATCTAATGTAATCCTCACCAAAACTTTTTAAGTGTTACTATTGATAATTACATCGTACAGTGAGGAATTGAGGCTAAGAAAGGTCAAAGGCTGAACCCAAGGTCGCACAGCTTTAGAAGCAATGAAGTTGGGATTCATTCTCTGGAGGTCTGAATACTTAAAACTACTCTAAGGATTAGACATGTTGGGTAATCTTACTACAAATTCATACCAAAAGTAGAGGCTGGTAGATCCATATGCTTTTAGGAAAAAAAAGTTTAAAAAGCCTTAAAGTCATAGAGATCTGGGTTTGAACTCTCTGCTTATCAATTATCTCCTTGAAAAAAGTTACTATACCTTTTGAGCTTTTGTATCTTCACCTGAAATATGAACATGCCAAATTCATAGAGTAATTACAAAGATCTATGATAAATTAACACAAAAAGTATGCAGCAGAGAAGCTAACAGCTGCTGAACAAATGCTGGTCTCTTTTTATCTAATTTTCCTTACTAAATCCTTCCAGGGCTGTATGATTCCTGTGTGATTCAAATAAAGTAATAAAGTTGCAGCCAGTCAATCAAAAGCTTGTGTATTCACAGAACAGAGGAGACTTTAGAACACCTGGGCCTACACCTGGTGATACAGGTACATGAACTCAAGAAGCTTGCAGCTTTAAAACAGAATTCCTGAGCTTAAGCATACGTTAGTGTTGTAAGAGCTGCCAGGGTTCCAAAGGAAAATTTTTATTGCAAAGGTAAACTCTATGAATTGACCAAAAACAAAGAATTATCCAAGAATCACAGCTGCAATATGAAAGGACTGCTCAAATTTGAAAGCAAACTTTTGGAGAAATCAGTGTTTTGAGAGGATTGTAGTAAACTTTTCTGATCGTTCAGGTCCAGAGGAGACAGTGAGAAGACACTGAGTTAGCTGACAGCAATACACTTGCTGCAACCTCTGATATGTGTTTAGTCTTTAAAGAACATGGAAAGATTATCTCTAGATTAACATTACCCACCACGCAGATGCTGTCTATGTTATTGCTAGTATCTATCTAGACTCTCAAAAAGAAATCAGAAACCCACAAACTTTGCTCCCTGAGTGCAGAACTATTCTCACTCCTCTCTTGCTCTTTCCTGTAGCACCTAGCATAGCTGTCTGCTTAAGGCACATGTCCAGCAAATGCTTGATTTGAAATTTCAACTGATATTCTTTTTCAGAGCTCTCTTGTTTGCCCAAAGGTGCTTTAAAAAATCAGCACTGTTTATGAAATGAACTGTAAGGCAAAGTATAGGAAAGAATGCTGGATAATCCCCAAAGCTGTACTGAAAAAGTAACTCCAAAGGACACAATACCAACATTACCAGAACCCAAAGCAGACAACAGTTCACTTCTCAGAAGCAACAACCAGAATGACACTAGAAGCATTTTCTAATAATTCTAACTAAAACAATGACCTGCAGTCTGAAAGCACTTATGTCATTTTTAGAAGGTTTCTAATTTTTGTTTCACAGAAACACTACTGTGAATACATTTAGACCTGGAAAAGAACATGAGGGGTACACAATAAAGAATTGCAGAAGGAACATTTTTGTTGCCTACGCCAGTCCCAGGAGGTTCTATAGCAGAGGCATGTATACAGTACCAGAGAACAAAGAGGGAATGGCTACATGTGCTCAGAGGAACAAGAAAGATACCAAAGTGAGAGGAACATTCATGAAGAATGCATCCACTTGGTGAAAGGGGCAGAAGGACATCTCAGGCAGAGGTGTCAGCATGGTAGAGGAAGGGGTCCCATGCCAGTTAGTAATTCAGCGTGGCCAAAGAATAAGGTATATCTGAGGGAATAGCAGGAAAAGAATTTAGAAAAGTGAGGTAATTCAGATTAGAAAGGGTCCTCAATACTATTAGTACTTGGACTTGATCCTCCAGGCAACTAGTATGTCTGTAGTTAGATCTGCAGTTTAGAAATATGTCATGCCAACTAGAATTAAAACATGGCTAACCAGAAGCCAGAAATCAAGTAACACTTGGTCTTCAATTTAGAGAAAAAAATAACATAAGCTCTTATGAAGAACCTGGTAAAACATACACACATATGTACTTCCCAAGGATAACCTGGGCTCAGTAAAGACCAAAGTCGATTCTAGGCAATAAGATGACAATCATAATAAGATTATGTTCTAAAACCACAGCTGTATTTAACAAAAGCAAGTTCCAAACAAGTTAAAGTACTTATCCAGGACCCTATTGTAGTGACTAGCAGGGTCAGTACAAAAATCTTAATATAAGGTATCTCCTAGTTAACCACAACTCTAAACAACTTTGTTGGGCAAGGAGAACACATAGCAAGTGAGGAATGAGGGATGACAGCATGAGCACTAGAACCAGGCTGCATGCTGCGCGCACTTTGTAAACTCTCACCATCATTCATGATCGTCTCTCTCTGAAGAATCATAAAGTCGCTGGTGGCTCACAGCAACCCTCACTGCAGCTTTTCATATTTGATTCGAAAGTAGGCAAAGACCAAGAGCTGTAAACATGTGGTGATGTTTCTACCTTTGGGGGGAGGGCTCTTGGAGTCCTCCATAGACAGCTTCAGCTGCTGTATGAACTCGCCGCCATACACACTTCTTTCTTGCCAGATGTTCAGCAATCTTTCTAAAGGTTTTTTACAGCCTTCATCTGCCTCTCTGCCCAGAAAAGACGAAAAGATATATATAAGCTTAAGATTTTTTTTGTTTTTAATTAGGCTAGATCTACTTTTAAAAAAAAAAAATCAACAACTGACTAAATGATTTACATATTTAAAAATAGAAGGAAGAGTAAGGTACATCTTATGTTACTTGAATACCCAAATCTTGACCAGAAACCACATTCTTCTTGTGAAGGTGGAGGGGAGAAAGGAATCATATACAAATCTTTTTTCCCTTTTGAAAGATGGGGCAAATGGGGAAAAGTCAATGGTTAATTTTTATAGACAGAGAGTAATTAAAAATTGTATCAATTGTGACAGCATGCTTTAAGACATGAATTTAAAATGTAGTACCAGACATTTTACTGGGAATAAAAATAGGCCTAAATATTTAAGAATTAAATAAACAAGATTAAAAAAACACAAATGTTTAAACAGGGAAATATTTACTACATTAACACACGAACACCTCTATATGTATAAATACACACACCTTTACTTCATAATTATTTTAATGATGGATGGATCTGTGTTCCATGTTCACACATGTCTAATTGATAATCTTAGAACACACTGAAAATCATTTGGTCCTTTGAATTTCTATCTGAAAAAAGCTGGGCAAATTTTTTTCCTGACATGTTACGCTCTAGAAATGGAATTTAAGTGGCACTCAGTATGAATCTGGTACCCACCACAGAATGTCAGATGGCAAGCAGAAGAGTGCGGAAAGACTTTCTAAATGGAACCATATTTCCCTGCCACCTACTGTGCATTGTGAATTGTTGTTCAGTAAAGCTGTGCAGAAGTCAATGATCTTAAACTGAGTAACTTAAGAAGGGACACTTGGGTATCTTAGGCCCTCTGTCAAATGTCTTTAATAGAAAAATCAAGAACAAACTATACCAAATTCAACAAAGATGGGATTCTATTCACCCCACCCTGACAGCACTTTTGCAAAGCTTATGCTAACAAAACTCATGGTGAATGTGGTTTCAGTCTAGTCCAGTCAGACTGTACTACTTATGAATTATTACTAGCAAATTTCACTGACCTGGAATCAAAGGATCAAATCAGCATATGTACAAATTAGTTCTTTTTTACTTTCAAATTAGAGGTGAGGGTTAGGAAAAGCAGGGAAACACTTCTGCTACATTTATAGAGCTCAAGGTATGAGCTGATAATCTGGTATTTGTGATCAGACACTTTCACTCCAGCTTCAGAATATATCCAGAAATGAGTTCTTCTCACCCCTTCCTCTACTGTCAGTAGACAAGCTACTACCATCTCCCAACCTGGTTACTACCACAGCCCCTCTATGCTCTCCCTGCTCCCACCTTTGTCCTCCTACAACCCACTCTTAAGTTTCAATGATATAATTCTGGCTGTTAAGGCAGATCAGTTCCTTCTCATTCTCCCTCAGAATAAAAAATGAAAGTCATTAGAAAGCCTTGGAGGCCTTCTTCCACCCAGCCCATTGGTTCTTGGTCTTTACCTCCTGCCCCCTCTCTCCACTCTGCATTAAAGTCTGCTTGGCCCAGTTAGCCACAGGCTCATTCCCACTCTTTCTGCAGGCCGGTGTTTAGTCTCACCTCACCTTTTCAGGAGTCCTTCCCTATTCTTCACATTGAAAATGGCACTCCTTGCCCCTTAAGTTTTCTACTTACAATCTATCTTCTCATATACTATACAATTTACTTGTTTACACTTGTTCCATTTGAATGCAATTTTCACAAAGATAGAGATTTGCCTTTTCCCCCACACTGCTAGACACCCTTAAACAAGAACAGTAGTTATTTGTTCAACTGTAAAAAATTTTTTTGACAGTACTAGAACTTGCGGTCTTGCATTTGCTAGGCAAACACTCTACTACTTGAGCCATGCCTTCAGCCCTTTTTGCTTTAGTTATTTTTCAGCTAGGGTCTTGAATTTTTGTCCGGAGTCAGCCTCAGACTGCCATCTTCCTACCTATACCTCCAAAATGGCTGGGATTATAGTCATATCACACAATGTCTTGCTGGCTTTTTGCCCAGGCTGGCTTCAAACTTTGATCCTCCCAATGTCTACCTCCTGAGTAGCTGGGATTCAAGGTAAGAACCACTGAGGCCAGCTTGAATTGTAATCTTTTTTTGAAAAAATTTGTACAGCCATACAGTTACTCAACTTTCAATAATCACCTTTCTGCATCAAGGTCATTCATGTCAGAAATCAATTAGTGAAGGTTTCTAGGACACCAGGCTTAGAATACAAAGAATAAGGCCTAGGGTGTGACCTCAAGAGTCCGATCCGTAAGAGATCCAAATCTCTTATGCCTCATTTCCTTGCCATACCTTATCTGGGCCTTCACATTCCATCAACACTTAACCATATATGTATTTCCTACTTAGAATTTGTTGTTTCGTGTGCATGTGCCTTTGCTAACACTAGTGCCTTTCCTTTGAATGGAACACTCAAAATGGAACAAAGGCAAAGAGAAAGAAGTTGTAATCAGGTAACTAAAGTAATAAAAGGTATATGTAGGTACAGCAAAAGAAGGTGGACAGAGTGGAACTAGATTAGCTAGGGCCCTGAATGCCACATGAAGCATGTGGCCTGCAGACAAGGGGGAACTCCCTGATATGGTCACATGTATGATTTAGAAAAATACAGTCACTGTAACTAATACAACCAAATTGCAACTAATTAACTGGTAGGTACTTTTAACATAAAATCTGTTCTCTGCAGATTCTCTGTTCACTTAAAAAGAATCAATTATGAGAACAAATTCTCATCAAGGACTTAATTAGGGGGAGGGGCACAATGCTCACCATCCATCACCCATCATTTCTGGGGACATCTGGCACCCAACTGAGACCAAGACTTAGGTTTGTCTTTTTTTTTTTAATGGTACCTGGGCTTGAACTCAGTGCTTACACCGTAAACCACTGGCCAGGATTACAGGTGTGAGCCACCGGCGCCCAGTCAAGACTGGTTTTGAGGACAGTTTCAGCCACATTGCTAGACAGTGGAAACCGATGCTTAATCTGTTATAACTACAAAACATTTTCAAAGGCTTTTACTAGTAAAGTTTAAAGCCAAAAAGGGAGGTCAAATTTAATCAGCAAACACAAGTAAGCAAGATACATTATTTCCCTGAGCACTATAGCAAATCAAGGTTTTGCTAAATAAGTTTCAAAGTTATAGGTAAAATGTTCAAGAAATCTTTTTACTGATGAGGTTTTGAAATAAGTAGTTTTGGTGAACTGGAAGTCACTTTGGCACCTGGAATCAAACTAAAGCAATACACTTGATAAAAGATGAGGCACTACCTTTTCAGTTTTCAGTAACTTCACTCTAAATTGAGATTTTTAAGTAAAAAAGAATTAAAAAAATTTACTATCAACCTATGAATAAACTAGAAGATGAGAAATAACTACCTACACAACTATGTTGAATACTTTATACATATTTTATTCTGCTTAAATTATAAATTCAATCACCACTCAGATTACAAAACTGACCATATACATACATACAGACAAAACTGCTGCCAGAAACCAGACTCTGATGGCTTGTATCTATAATCCTAGCTACTTGGGAGGTTGAGATTGGGAGGACTGCAGTTCTAGGTCAGTCTAGGTAAAAAAGTTCATGAGATCCCATCTGAACAGAAAAAAGTTGGACATTATGGCATGTGTCTATCATCCCAGCTATAGTGGGAAGCATAAAATAAGAGGATAACAGTTCAGGCTGGCCTAGGCAAAAAGTGAGACCCTATCTCCAAAATAACCAGAGCAAAAAGGGCTGGCAGCTTGGCTCAAGCAGCAGAGTACCTGCCTAGCAATTGTGAAGCCCTGAGTTCAGACTTCAGTACCACCAAAAAAAAAAATTAGGTGACACCTAAAGCATGCCAAGCAAGCTTTGGTGGCCTTTCTTTCTGCAGGTTCTATGGCACTTCCTTGACACAACCAATATAATTTGTACATGTCTGCTGCATACATCGCAGACCTATGGTTGGCCCCGAGAGCAGGAATTCTAAGTATGTCCAGCATTTCCAACAGCACCTCATGCAAAGTGTTCTTTAGAATTGCTCAGAAAAGAGTTAATATAGATAGAATGCTGAGCCCACTACCGTTAGAAAAGCTTGCTGACAAGTTGAGCCTTGGTGGCTAATATGGCTTGGGTATGAAGTGCCTCCCACCCCAAAAGACCCCAGACTGTTGAAGACTTGGTCCCCAGCTGGTAGCACTACTGAGAGGTGATTGGATTATGAGGGTGATAACTTGATCAATGGATTAATCCTCTGATGAGTTCACAGCTGAACTCACCTCTATTCAGAGGTGGGGCCTATCTGGAGGAAGTGGGCTACTAGAGGGGTGGCTTTAAAGGGTACTTCTTGTCCCTGAACCCTTCCTCTCTCTGCTTCCTGGCCACCATCAGGTGAGCAGCTTTACCCTACCACATGCTCCTCAAAGTGATGGTCTGTCTCACCACAGCCTAAAAGCAATGGAGCCAGCCAACCTCAGAAACCAAAAACTAAATCCTTCCTCCTTGTTTCTCTCAAGGGCTTTGTCACAGCAATAAAAACTAATACAAGGGCATCTGGGACTGGGAACCTCAGAAGAGCTCCACCAGCTAGTGATCAGAGTGACTTGTGTCTAACCTTCCCTAACACTGTGGTTCCAAATGAACACCTTCTTTCTTTCTGGAAGCCTGGAATTGTGGCAAAATATGCTGTACATGGCCGGGCGCCAGTGGCTCATGCCTGTAATCCTAGCTACTCAGGAGGCAGAGATTAGGAGGATCGAAGTTCGAAGCCAGCCTGGGTAAATAGTTCTACAAGACCCTATCTCAAAAAACCCTTCACAAAATAGGGCTGGTGGAGTAGCTCAAGGTGAAGGCTATGAGTTCAAGCCCCAGTACCACAAAAAAAAAAAAAAGATGCTGTACATGACCAACCCCAATGAAAACCCTGGGTGCTGAGTCTTTAATGAGTTTCCCTGTGAGAATGCACTTCACACATGCTGTCACATTCAATGCTGGAATAATTATGTCTGTGTGATTCCACTAGGAGAAGACCCTTCAAGTTTTATGCCTAGAGTCCTCTATCCTTCACCACATGCACCTTTCCCCTATGCTGATTTTGTCTTATATGCTCTGGCTGCAATAAATCACAACTTTGAGTCCACCTAGGAGGTCACCAAACCTGGAGGTAGTCTTGGAGACCAATACACAACAGTAAGTAAATACATGTGATAACTCCCAAATTTATATCCCCAGGAATTACTGAGCTTCAGACTATTGTACCTATCTGTCTATCTGGCATCACCCTTGGAATATCTACTTGTCATCTCACACTAAACATGGCCAAGGCAAAATTCATTTCACCAATCCTAAACTCAGTAAAGAGCACCATCAGCCACCCACTTACATCAAAAACCTCTGACTCTCCTTTCCTCACTACTACCTCCCACTGAACTCTGATACATTCTATCAGTTTTATATGGGAGAAAAATCCATCTAAAACATAAGCATTCAATCACTGAAAACGGTCTACTCATTGCTTCTGAGTCCTAACCAATGTCGTCTTAGCCGACACTATAGCAATACCCTCCAAACTCATGTCTCCTTTGGTCTTCACAACAAGCCACTTTTAAAGACGGATCTTTTTTAAAAATGTATGTTGTTGGGCTGGTGGCATGGCTCAAGCAGTAGAGTGCCTGCCTAGCTAGCATGAAGCCCTGAGTTCAAACTCCAATACTACCCAAAATAAAAAAAATTAAAATGTTAGCATATATAATTCCCAGCTTAAAACTCTTCGTATCAATGAAGATTTTTATTCTGATATCCCATCAGAATAAAATCCTAACTCTCTCCCAAGGGTTAAAAAGTGTTTGTAACTACTACCTGTCTCTCTGATCTCTCTGGGTACCACTTCTTCCTTTGCTTGCTATGTTGAACCACGATAGCTTTCATTGTTTCTCATAAAACGCCACAATTATTAGGTTCTTAATAGCTGTTTCTACTTTGCACAGTGACCTCAAATGTCATTTCCTTAGAGGGGCCTCAACCACACTACCTAGAAGAGATCCCACTCTAGAGGGCCATTCTATTTTATTATGGCCATATCATCACTCTCTCAAAGTGTCTTGTTCATTTCACTGTTCTTGCCTTCCTTGTTCCCTGCCCCTAGTGTCTGGATCAGTACTTATTATATAGAAGGCACTCGAATATAGGTTGAATGAAAACAAGGCAGCTGTATAGACAAGAAGTTCCCAGTCTGGCTCAATCTGCTACTCAAATCAAACCTACCCTATGAAATGGCAGCTGTCTGAACTGAGAGATTTTTGTCTGGGGTTGGGGATAAGGAATTATCGTAAACATATTGTTAATCAATTTGGTCAATAATAATGGACCAACCACTCTTGTTCATTAGTTGGCAACAGAAAAAGCACAGAGACAGCATATGTTAAGCTACCCTGTGTAAGTCAGAATTGAAGTAGTTGTTGAACTTTCTGTTCTAATAATGGGGTGAGGGAAAGGAGCATGGAAACCTGAACTTCCTGAATATAATGCCCAAACAGAACCTTAAAAGAACTAGAAAGGAATTAGGGATATCTTTTTACTGAGAGAGATCAAGCCAAAATCTTTCACAATGCCTTCTGTGCAGGTTTTTGTTTGTTTTGTTTTATTACTGTTGTTGTTATTGTTTTTGGTGACAAGGTCTCACTTATGTAGTCCAGGCTGACCTTGACTTGCAATCCTCCTGCCCCAGCCTCCTGAGTGCTGGAACTCAGTAATAGGCATGTATTACTATGCCTGGCTTCTGAATACGTTTTGCTTTTCCTAAGTAGAAGAGGAATTTTTTTTTCTTTTGAGGTTCTAGGGCTTGAACCCAGGGCCTGTGCATGCTAGGTAAGTGCTTTGAATCCTGGTATTGCCTTCCCCCATCCTCCTAGCCCTTTCTACTTATCCTTTTTCGGTTTCAGGACAGTTAGAGATTACTGATCAATTTTTAAATAAAACTGTTTGCTTATTACCTATTTAGGAAACAATTCCAGCCAATTCCCTATGCCAAATATTTTCCTCAATTAGTCAATATTAATTAATTTAACAGAATTCCTATTCTGTGCCAGGGCAGACCACAATGCTGATATTGTACACCAAGGCTATCCAAATGGTACTCACTATAGGTATATAACCCAGGAGCTTTCTGACAGATATTGCACTAGGTCTCTGGTATATAGCAAAGAACAACAAAAAATGGTTCTTCCCTTCACGGAGCTTATACTCTACTATATCACAATGAGTGAACAATGTGAATCAGGCATTTTATTGTGTAGTTTTCAATTTATTTAGCTTCACAATAACTCTATGGTGAGAAAGCTGGCATCACCCCTTTTAACTAATTAGAAAACTTGGGCCCAAAAAAAGTTAAGTAGCACATCTAAGGCCACTCAGACAGTGTTTGAGACAGAGCTAGTATCTTAAAAAATTGTGAACTAAATCTCATCAAAACAAGAAACCCCATTCGCATTTTCAGAGAGCTACTCTAGTAATTGGTTCTAAGTTTAATCTGTTTGGAGGATCAGTAATTTTTTCAAGTTAATAACACATTCTGTTTCTTCAGTATCCGTGCTCATCAAAAGAAGAGCCAGCTACATAGGCAACAAACAAAAATATTTTTCCATCTTTAGGAAGCTAGATGTGATTTCTTTATTCTGGATTTCTAATTCTATTCCTTTAAACTTTTCAAATCTTTCAAGGAACACTAGACTTAATTTCATATTTAAGGCCTTTCACTTATGCCTTAGACCCTAAAACAATTTTTAACCCATTGGTCTTTTTCACCTTTCCCAGTCTCCTTTTGCAAAGATATGCATATATGTTTATTTATAAACCTAACCATCTACTAAAAAATAGTTTTCCTTGCTCTTCCTGGGACCTTAAAGAAAAGTATTGTTTTAAAATAAATAAAAATAATTTATAAAACTTTTAAGACAATGTATGCTTTCTATATTAGCTGTATGCATGTTCTATACCCCAGTCCTCTCTGCAACAAAACACAACAGTAGCAGTTTTAATACAAAAGTAGAACATCTACTTTTCCACACTAATAATTAATTTTTTGCAGTTACAGTAGTGACTATTATTTTTAGTAAACTAGACATCTAAACATTCAGAAAAAAGTAAACAAGGAGGCATAAGTAACTAATTTTTGCTACTGAAGATATGTTACTAAAAGGTTCCTCTCTACTGCTTAGCTTTGTTTTTTTATCGTAAGCTAATGAGACAACTCAGCCAAACCAAGAAAAATACTATGCTCAAGAAATAAATTCAATAAATGAAAAGAGGGAAAAGATGTATTTCCAGTGCTAGGCTGAATCTCTTTAATGCATCAAAATATTTCTGTGTCTGAGATAGTTCTTACGGGCCAAGTAAAACATAAAGCTACTATTTGGCCTCCACAACACCCTATAAAGTACAAAGCTGTAAACTTACAAAGACTATCACAAAAAAAGGGAAAGAACAGGTAGGAAAGTCAATGCATCTGAAAACAAAAAAAAAAGACAACATACCTGGCAACATGAGAAAAAGCATCCACAAGGACAGATTCAAATTCTCTAGTGAACTCAGGTCCTTTCCTTTTACTGTTTTGGATGACATCATTCGCTAAGTACAGAAACGTAAGCTTTCTATTTGATTTGGCTGAAAAAAAAAAGACAATTTAACTTACACCAAAGAAATTCTTAATTCACAATTCTTATGCCCTAGGATACACCTGAAGAACATTAAGATGAGCATGATTTAAGGCTGTGCTCAAGTACACAATGCTAAACAAAACAACCACTACAGCAAGGAAACTCCCAGAGGTCTCTGATATAACAGGTTTGGGAATACAATTTCGGAGGGAGAAAAAAAAGAATAGGTTAGTTTCACTTCTGTTATTTTAACTAGGGAAATTAATTGACAGTAAAAATGAAGATAATCCAAAGACAATTCCTAAAGAATAACAATCAATACTAATGTTAAAACCAAAGCTTTCACTTATTCTATTGCAAAAATGAATACTTCGAATTCATCCTTAATTATTAAATATTCCAGAATAAAGAGTTAGGTTTCAATTTTAAAGTAGATTCTTATAATTTATACTCCTAAACTGAGATTTTCTCTTTTGCATTCCAATAACCACAGTCAGTCAATGATATCAACACTACAATCAATCCTGAGAATCTCTAGATGCACCAATGGATGTTTATCTCAAATACAAATATGCATTAATGCTATACTATTATTGAAAATTTATACACATCTGAAATCTGGATATGCAAAATTATGGCTCCCACAAAAACCGTAATTCTTCTGTTACATATACAAAATGTACTATTTCCTATTACTCTATATGGTATCATATATTAAGCCATAAAAACCTCATGCAATATGTCTGAGTTACAGTTGGTTGGGGAACATTACTGAATTTCCTGACTTCTACGCCCATAACTTCTCAACTGTAAAGTTCTATCACTACCATTTTTGGCCCCAGTTTTCTTTTAAAAGAAATAAATATGAGCATAATTAGGTATTTCAAAATACTAAGTTTTCTCCCATTCTGAAGTATCTGAAACTCAAGTAAGCTTTATGCCAACTTTTACACACCTGAATAACTAGTCCTACTGTTAGAAACCACTTCTGTTTCTTCTGAAATGCACACAGCATGTATTAAGTTCCGACACAGCAGGCATAAGATCTAACATTTTAAAATGCAGCTATAGGAGAATAATCTATGCTAAAAACAAGATTTTAAAAGTACATTACAGTTTTAACTGATATCTTAAAATGCTCATAAAATTAAATATGGATATCTTGAATTGTACTAACCTTCTGGTAATAACCTAGTTTAGATGGCCAACTGATGAGAATATTGGAACCTGGAGCTATCTTTAACTGTTCTAATTATCACTCAGAAGCAGGACAAAAGTGTCAATAGTTACAATATCCTACTGCTGTTACAAAGGTATGATTATGGCAAAAGACTTTTTTTTCTTTTTTAAAGCAAACCTTGTTCTTTGAAGTCATAGTAAGTGAAGCCACCAAGTCTATATAATGTTATGAAAGCAGATTCAAAGGTAAAACAACTTCAACAAACCAAATTTGACTAAGTGGAGTTTTAGAAATTCCATATACTTTGTGTTAAAATATCTAGAATTCATATTGTAAAATGTCAGTTTGGACATTCAAGACATCAGTTTGGACAATACATCTTTCAGTATCGTAAATATGGTATCTGAGAGGCTAGACAGCCATGGTCTTCACTATCTACCATGCCTACTACTGATCATCACTGCCAAACTGAACAATAGGGTTTATCTAGGCTCAAACTGTCTCCCTCCACATTCAGCATCCTCAACAGTCTATGTATGCACCCTGTGTGTAAAAATAATATGAAAAAGCCCTAGAACACTGAAACACACACAGTCAACAATATACACAACACATATATATCCCTCTCCCCCAACCCTGGGTGACAATATGACAAAATAGATTCTTCCACTCCCTACTAAGCCCATTCCAAACTGGTAGAACTAATTGTTAAGCAAAATTTAATCAACTGGCTAATCAAATTGTCACTTGTTTGGCTGGTTTTGAAAATCTAGAGAAAGTGTAAAAAGTAATTTTGGAAAAATTACTAAATGTAAAATTACTAAAATGTCACATTTAGGCCACAACTCAAAACACCACTAAAAGTGTAGTTATCTAGGAGTATCCCCCCACCAACTTTGGCAGTACTAACGTTCGAACTTAGGACTTCATGCTTGGTAGGTAGGCACTCTACCACTTGTGCCATGTCTCCAGCCCCTATCTAGGAGTCTTTACTCCCATTTCCTATGTGGGGAGCAGGAAATGTTTCTCCTTTTTTCCTCCTACTTCTCCCTACTTTATTCTGTTATACTAAAATAAATCCTCGTTAAAATTGCCAAAAGAACTAGTTATCTAGGGCTGCCAGTATGACCTAATTGGTAGAGCACCTGCCTAGCAAGCACAAGGCCCTGAGTTCAAACTCTACCAAAAAAAAAAAAGTCATCTAAGGGAATTGCATACCAAAGTACTCCATGAAGGGGAATTCTACTCAACCCCTAAAGAATAAATTAAGAATAATTCCTAGAAAATAACACATCAGGAACAAAAGAAGTAGTATTTAAGTGAGAAAAACTAATTTCTGTAAATCTCAAAAACACTTTGATGGCTATTCAGAGACAGTGTATGAATATCTTAGATAGGAAAAATGACTTTACCATAGATACAAATGTCTGCTTTTAAAGACTCAGGGTGGGTTAGAACCTAAGGGGCACGAAATCCTTTTCCACTTTAGTGTGGGGCACTTTCAATTCATGAGAGAAGTGGGTATCAGAGGTTCTGCAGTGGTCAGTATGGAAGCTATTGGCCACAAGTGGCTATTGAATACTTCACTCAGGCTACTGAAACTTGCTAACTGAATTTGCAATTGTGTTTACTTCAAATTTTAGTTCTTTAGCCATGCATTCTAGGTGCTCAATAGCCACATGCAGCAAGTAGCTACCTTGTTGGAAAGCAGATATAAAACACTGAAATTGTCACAGAAAGTCGGATTACATAGTGCTGTTTAAATTCTTTACTTGACCATAAAAATCATATCAGAGAACACAACTTAACTCCTAAACTACATATATATTTTGGGGGGGGAGGGGAGGAGGCAGCACTGGGGTTTGAACTCAGGGCCTCATGCTTGCTAGGCAGGCATTCTTACTGCTTGAGCCACTCCACCAGCCCTTTCTTGTGCCAGGTTTTTTGAAGACAGGTCTTAGCTGGGCAAGTGGCTGAAGTGGTAGAGTGCCTGCCTAGTAAGCATGAGGTACTGAGTTCAAACCCCTCTACCTCCAAAAACATAATGCTATAAACTTTCATACTTAAAAATGAAGACAGGTCTTGAGAATTGTTTGCCCCAACCAAGATCCTCCTGAGCAGCTAGGATTACAGGCATGAGCCAGCGCCAGGCTCTAAACTATTTTTCAGCATGTGATAGGCACTACTAATGCTGTTGCTTTACAGAGAAATCAGAAGACCAAACTTGTTCCAAAACACAATCTAATGGAAAAGGTATAAGAAAGAACAGAGAAAATGCTCAGCTGGTGTGCTATGGTAGAAGGCAGGAATTAATTCCAATAAAGCAAAGCATGATGGGTTTGGTTTGAATTAGATGACCACCTTCACTTAGTAAGTGCACTGAAGCACTGGATACCTGAAAAAACACAAGTTTTGCAAACAGTCTGGCCCAGATCCCAGCAATACACCCCTGAACAAGCCACTTTATCTTACTATATCTTTATCTTCTCTATAAAATGAGGATAATAATACTGGCCTACTTACAACATAAGTCTCTATCATTAGGGATAAAAGAACTTCATCAGTGAACGGACTCTCTAAATTGTTACGGTTTCATATGCAAAGAGAGTGAAGTGAGCAATCAAGAAAGCTTCATAAAAGTGACATTTGAGATGGACTTTGACAATTTCACGATGATCAAAGAGATCCTACCAGAGAGGATTCTGCAGAGGCAACTGGCATTCTTTTACATACACCAACAGATGTTAGAAATATCTGAGTGGCACAGTGTAATACACAGAGGTGGCTCTGGGATCCCCAGGCTCTCTCCACCTCTCAACTGCCCAAAGGACCAAATCTCTATCTTAGTACAGCATGTCATATATCAGGATACTCGGCTAGAGAGCTGGGTCTCCTGGAATTTGGTGTCTATGTAGCCTGAGCAACAGTCCAAAGGCCTTGCAAATCCTACTTAGCCACTTCAGGTTCCTCACTATAAACCAGGGTGACATCACAGATAGAGAACATGTATGAAGTCACTTCCCACTGCACACAGGGTGTCCAGAACAGCTTTGAGCTTATTTTCTTCAGCCTTCTGCTATGGAACTCACAGCAGTTAAGCACCCACCTTACCCCGCCCAGCTGTAAGCAACTCCAAGGCAAAGACCAAGCCTCACACTGAGCAATCAGGATAATCCCATCTCATCATGATTTAGTGTGCCTCACAGCATGGGAAAATCTTCATTTGGATTATCCTGTTTACTTCTCACCACAATTTGTATTTATCTGAGCCTCAGGTTTTCCCCACCTGCAAAGTTCCTACTTCAAAAGGCTCTGCCAAGTTAAGAAATAACAACGTATGTAAAGACATTGATCGGCACCCCACCTGGCACACAATAAAGGCACAGTAAAATACCAGTTATCATTATCTCCATTTTATACACAAGGAAACTAAGGGAAAGCCAGGTGACAGTTGCTGGAGTCAGTAAGTGGCAAAGTCAGGCTTAATTTCCAGTAAGCAACTTGTTATTAAGTGCCCAATACCGTGCTGAGCACCAAAAGGCTTAGCTCCATGAATGCCTGATCCCAAGTACAGCCTGAAATCAATGGAAGGTGCAGATGGGCTCCCAATTCACAAGCCTGTTCTGAGTTCGAGGATACACACAGACTAAATATAGCAACTGGCGCGGAGTAAAGGCTTTGTAGGCAGCTCTCCTTGTGTCCGTTGGACAGCAGTGAAAACAGAGGCCCGGAGAGAAGAAACCAGCCTGTTATCACTCAACTAGTAAGTGGCTGAGCCAGACATATCCAGGCTGTCTGACCAGAGATCCCCGGCTCTTCCTCCAAATGCCCAGCACACAACAGGTAACAGGACGCTGAATGCAGCTGAGGCAACAACAGCTCCAGGTGTCAGGAGGAAGCGCCGGGGAAAGGCAGTTTTGATATTTGGCAGTCTGGGCACCTGAGCCCTGGTCCCTAGAACCTCAGACAAGCACCTTATTTATACCTTCCGGGCCTCAGTTTCCCTCTCCAAGAAACGGGGATCACACTGTCTCCAATTTCAGAAGCGCGATCGGAGACCCACACCTGAAAAAAGCAAGGCTCAGTTAAGAAGCTAGAGGGACCTGGATAGCGGTGGGGGAGGGCGACCACGGGAGGGTCCCGGGGAGAGCGGGGGTGTTTACCTTTGCGGAGCTCGCGGTGCCACACCGACACGATGGGTCCCGCATGCTTGCGGTGGTGGATGAGCCACAGGGACAGGGTCTGCACGCTCTGTTGAGAGTTGCTCAGCTCCGAGAGCTTCTTCTCCAGCGCCGACTCCGAGAAGGAAGACATAGTGGCGGCGGTGAGGCCCGGCAGGGAGCGGCCTGGGCCGCCCAGTGCAAAGGGAAGAGCGACCGCACAGGGTCCGGGCCTCACCTGACAGACTGCGGGACTCTTTGACGACTGACAGACAGCCAGGGGTGCAAGGAGGGGGAGGGGATGGGTCTCCGCAGTAACAGCCGCCCGCGCCGCCGCCACAAGATGGCCACCCGACCTATCACCCCGCCGCGAGTGAGGTCAAAGGGCAAGGGCTAGAGTAGCTGCGCACCGAAAGACCTCGGAGCTGTAGTAAAACGTTCCTTTAGAGGCAGCGGCCTCTCTGGGCCCCCCTCAGGCCACTTCAACACAGACAAACCAGGGAAACGAGCCCAATTCCTCGGGCCCTAGAAGGCTCTTTGACCGCTCGTGCCCGCACGCCGGCGCAGTAAGCCTCACCGGAACCCTTTCTCCCGCTCCAGCAGAACTTTTCTGGCGCGGTACGGCGCGCCATTTAGCGCGTCACTTCCGGCGGGGCGCCGGAGGCGGGAGAGTAAGGGAAAAGCTGGAAGACGAGGTAAGGGAAGAGTGGCGGGAGCTGGAGGGAGCACAGCTGCCGAAAGCTCTTAGAGGGGGATCCTGAGCGGACCCCGAGGCTGAGAGATCATTACCTGGGTAAGGGAGGGGGGCCTCCTCCCTCACCTGGCAGGCCCCAGGCTGCACTATTTCTCCATACGTGTCCTGCTCCCTGGTCGCCCCTCCAGAAAGCTGCTTTTTGGTTCTTTCAAGACACCCACGTGCCTTTTTCGCGCCTCCACGCCTGGGCTCTTGCGCTCTCTGAAAAAATGACGCCCTTTTCTCACCTGGTGAGCTTCTTTAAGGGGCATTCTGACATTTAGTCTGACAGGGCCGCCGCATGAAACAGCCTTGTTGCCTTCTGCTCTTAATTGGTTGCTTCACAAAGGGAATTGTCCTCTCATGCCCTCTATCTTGCCCTCCGAAAGCTTCCGTGGACGTCGCTTAGGAAACTTTTTTTTGAGGTTCTTTTTTAAAAGTTTTAAATTCCATTTATCAAGTCAATAGAGAAATTCTCTAACTGCTGTGGGAGTGGTGGTAGAGAGTTCACATTTTTCATAGACATAACAGAATTTTAAAATTTCATGATCGCTGTTGAACTTAGTTGTGTGCCCACCCCACTTTAGGAGACACTCTTCTAATCGATGCCTGTTTTTGTTCTCATTGCACTGAATTGTAGTTACATGTTTTTACCTTTTGTCTAGAGTAGAATCATAATCATAGCAAACAAAAGTTGTTGTGTGCTAGACACTGTTTTCACATAGTAACTCATTTAATCCTCACAACGAAGCTATAAAGTGATTATTATATTCTCTCCACTTAACAAATTAGGAAACTGAAGGTCAGAGAGTAACCTCCGACTTAACAGTGATCACATAACTATCAAGATCACATAGCTAAGGTTCAATAGAAAAGACTGCATCTCAGCATCTTTTTGACCCCAGCACCTTATTCGTAGCTGTTTGAGAGAATTAGTGTTAAAATGGTGAATAGCCTCGAATCACAGTCTCTAGCTAGTCATAACTGTAAGCTTGGGCTTCTGAGTCAACATCTTTCAGTATTAACACATCTTTCAGTATTTATACCGAATAATGTGTGTTCCGCACATTGCATTTTTATTTAATCCTGTGAAGTGAGGATTGCTGTATACTTTTTTATTTAGTTATGTGGAGTGAGGATTATTATCATTGTTTGATTGATGACAAGACATAAAACATGGGTAAGTATCCAAAGTTACTTGGGTGTGTAACCAGGACATGGAAAAGCATGGATTCAGCCAAGGTTCTGATGTCTGGTTCCTAATTTTTCACTTCATTTAACAAATAATTTTTGAGCACCTATATATGAACCACTGTTGTAGGCAAATAGACAAAATATCACTATCCTTGAAAACTTCTACTGGGGAAGATAGAAAAACAGGTGTAAAAAGAGTCAGAAAGTGATAGTGCCTTGCATAAAAATCACAGAGAAGTTGGAGCTATGCTAGAGCACTTGCCTAGCATGCACAAGGCTTCTGTTCAATTCCCAGTCCTGGAAAAAAAGGGGAAAAAAATCAAAGACAGTAGAGGAGATGAAGAAGAATATATGAGTTGAGCAGATAGGAGTCTGTTATATGCTGCTCAGAGAAGGCCTCACTGAACTGAGAAGGTGACATTTGATTAGAGCCCTGAAAGAAAGGAGAGAACAAGTCATAATCTTTCCTTCCAGGAGTCAGGAAAATCAACTTCACATCACTGTTGGCATTTTTGAGGAACAGAAAGAAGTCTAGTCAGACTAGAGTGGTCTGAACCAGAAGGTTGACTAGATGAGCTCAGAAAACTAACAAGGGACCATATCACGTGGGCACTTGTGGGTAAGGGCTTGGATGTTCCTCTAAATGAAATATGAGTTCGTCAGATAGTTGGGAATGAAAGCCAAACATGTTGCTGTTATGTGAAAAATAATGAAGGTGCAAGGAAGGCAGGAAGACCAATTTGTCAACTGTGTAATAACTCAGAATTACTCAGACCAGGGTTGTGGCAGTGGAGGTGATGAGAGACAGATTCTGGGGATATTTTAGAGGAAGATATAACAGGATTTACTGACAGTTTGGATACTGGGTGTGAAAGAGAGATGAGAGTTTAGATGGCCTGAAGGGTATCAGCCTAAGCAAGCATGAGAATGGAGTTGCCACTTACTGAATTGCAGGAAGAGGAGGTTTGGATTTGGCCTTTCAAAGAGTAGTCACCACTCAGTATCCTCAGAGGTCCTCAATATCCCCATCCCCATCCCCAGATACCAAACTCCCACTGATGCACAAGTTTCATATAAAATAACACAATGTTTTCGTAGATCCTGTACACACGCTCCTGTGTAGTTTAAATCATCTGTAGGGTATTTATAATACCTAATACAATATACATGCCATAAATAGTTGTTAATGCTATATTGCTTAAGAACAATGACAAGACAAAAGTCTATATATTCAGCACAGTTGCAGATTTGGATTTTTTTTCTGCAAATGTTTTTGATCTGTGGTTAGTGGAATCTGGGGACCCTTGGATACCAAGGGCCACCTGTATAGCTAGATGTATAATCAGCAATTGGGTTTATCAGTCTGGAGTTCAAGGAAGGAATCTGACTAGAAATGTGGGAGTCATAAGGGAGAATAGGTGCAGAAAGGGACTGAGTCCTAGGACAAGTCACCTATATGTAAGGTATCAGTTTTCTCTGGCTGCTTTCAAGAATTTTTTTTTGTTGGGGGGGGTTGGTTGGTTTTTCAGAAGTTTAATGATGTATCTTGTAAATTTCTTTGTGTTTATATTATTTGCTTTTTGAATATATAGATTTATCTTTTGCCAAGTTTGGTGTGTATAATATTTGCCAGTATTATTTGAATATTTGTTCAGTCCTGCCCTCTTTGTCTTCTCCTTCTAAAAACCTTAAGTCTTTAGTGATAGTCCCACAGGTCTCTGAAGTTCTGCTCCTTATATTATTTTTTTCAGTCTGTCTTCACTGATGTTCAGATTGGGTAATTTCTATTTGTTCTGTCTTCCAGCTAACAGATGCTTTCTTCTGTTGTCTTCATTCTACTGTTGAACCCATTCACTGACTTTTTTCTTCATTATTGGATTTTCAGTTCTACAGTTCCCATTTGTTTCTTCTTTACATCTTCTACTTCTTTGCTAAGGCTTTCTATTTTGTTTGTTTGAAATATTTATTGTTCATGGAAACGTTTTAATCATGGCTGCTTGAATATTTTTATCTGATAATTGTAACTGTTGAAATTGCCTTTTTTCATTCATTTTGTGTTCTTGGGATGATGAGTCTTTTTTGTTTGTTACTAAAACCTGTACATTTTGGTGTTATGTTCTGAAACTCTGGATGGTATTTAAGTCCTTTGTTTTGGCGGGGTTTCTCTAATACCACTCCTACTCCAGGAAAGGGGCCTAATTCGTTGCTGCCAGGTGGAGATAGAAATCTAGGTTCCTTACTCACTTCCATCAACACCCAAAAAGGAGGGCTCCCCAGTTATTGTTGGTTGGAGGTGGGTGTTTCATCTTCCATTCGGTCTCCACTTATACTGCATGGGTGATCTTGTCACCACTTGACAGTGACGAAGGCCTTGACTCTTCATTCAGCCTCTTCTGACACTACCACAGTGAATAGGGTGATTGATGAGTGAGAGTGACTCCCTGTGGTTTCCACTGTACTTTGTAGGGGACAGGTTAGGGGAGGGCTTATCACCAGGGCTGGTAGGGATGGAATTCCCTCCTTACTTTGCCTTCTCAGACACCATCCCTGAAGGAGTGTTGGGAGGCATCTCATTACAACCTGGTGAGAGTGTTAGCATGGATGAGGCCACAGTGTTTTCTCTAGTGTTTGGCTGGAATCGAACAGCTGTTGCCCAAAAGCCTATTGTTTTGTCAGGCTGCCCTTTCCTATTTCTGTGGCTGAAGAGAGCAGATCTTTTTTGTCTGTACTGTTGCTTCCATATTGCCAGCTTCTTCTGCTCCAAGATTGGGATCTATGAGACAGAAAGAAAACTTAGGGAATTAATATTATGTCATTCCTGAGGTCCTGAGAACCCTAAGAAGTCTGCTCTCCTGTCTCTTTCTTTCAGTCTTCTTATGTTTGTTTACTGTCTAATGCCCAGAGTTTAGTTGTATTTAACAGAAAAATAGCAAAATCTAGTTCTATTCCATCTTCCAAAAGAAGTTCTCTATTTATAAGTATGCATGTATGTACATGTGTATAGGTAAATAAACATTTTATTTATATAAATAAATAGAATAAACACATATATATAATCAGCTACCTGGAGACCTTGCCCCAATTTCTAGTTTCAGCCCAGGCATTAAGCCATTCCTTCCTGAAAAATAACTAAAGCAAGAAAAGGCTGGGGGTGTAGTTCAAGTGGTAGAGCCCCTGCCTAGCAAGCATGAGGACCTGAATTCAAACCCCAGTATTGCCAAAAAAGGAAAAGAAGAGAGACCCATGGAGACTATTCATAGGACAGGGCTCCTACTCCTGCCTGAGTGAGAAAACTTTTAAAATCCTAGATTCCCATGTATACCTCTTTCACCAGAAATTAGACTGTGTTCCAGTACATCTGGTGTGGAACCCAGGAGTCTGAGTTTGAACCATTCCTCCTCTATTCTGCTGAACAGCCAGGCTGGGAAGTTGTGTGTAGTGGAAAGAGCACATAGCCAGCCTCCGGAGGCTGCAAGGCCTGAGCTGAACCCTGAGACTGACACCTGCTTGCTGTGTGGCCAGCACATCATCCCTGAGGCTTGACCTTCTCAGCTTGTGGATGAGGGATTTGTACACATAAAATACCTAGCACATTGCCTTGCATAGAATGGATTTTTTTTTTTTAACAAAAACAGCAACAACAAAAATTTTCTTCTTCCTATTCAGGAATTTGTGTTGCTACTTCTTATATCTGAACTTCTGTCTTGGATCTAAACCTAGTCTAGTCCTCCTTTCCACAGACTATTTATTTATTTTGATCTTCCTTTT